AAGGGGGCCGAAAAGGGGACGGGGGGGGGGCGGCCAATTTCCTTGGGGGCGCCGGGCCGTTCCAAACCCGGGGCAAGGGGGGCCGGGCCCCCGGCACATCATCGCCCCGAACAAACCCCAGAGGGAAAAAAATGACCCAGGCTAAACTTGATTAAAATAACCAACACACAAAAAAAAAAAAGGTGCGTGAATATAAATAAAGATGATAATTAGAAAAAAGCCCGCTAGGTTAGTACACAAAGGCAGCTTTGGTATCCTTCTTTTACGTCGACATTTTGCGCCTCGCTCTACATCTATTCTCTAGAATGTTTACACCAAGTTTTACAGGAACCCCCTTCCGTTGTCTCCCCCTCCGAGTTAAAAGCACCTCGTGCGGATAACCGCCCTCCTCATTCTCAGCTTTTCACCTTGGGAGAGGTCATTGATTTCAAAAGGGAGTCAATCATCACCAAATTATTCCTTCGCGAGGCCAGCTCCTCTTGTTTATGGTTAATTTCGGCCTTGGTGAGCACGCAGAGCGCCTTGAGCTGGCGAAAACTCATCTCCCGCAGCTTCGCGGCGCGGATGGCCGGGTTGGTGTAATCGCACCGCGCCGCCTCCGCCTGAAAAGTGTTTTGAATCGCCGCCAAACGCTGCTGACGAGCCTCACGGCGAGCCTGCCTCCGCGCATTCTCCTCTTCATTATTATTAGTGATATCAACCAAATTAGAAGTCGTAGGAATCAACCCCAACTCGCCCCCGCCGGGCGAGGAGGTGGAGGTGATGGTGAGCTGCGTGGAGGCCTCTGGCGGCGGCGCCTCCGTCGCCTTCCACACCACGAGCGGGGTCTCCAAATTAATAAAAGAAAGCCCGTGAAAGGAAAGCGCGTTGCTGAGGCTGTCCATTTTGGCGAAAATCACGGCAAGGCGGTCCGAATCGAGCGCATCCCACGCCTCGATCGACCCACAGCGCTTTAGAAGAAGCCGCAGAAGGTCCTCGCGATCCTCCTCCGCGCAATTGCAGATGTACACCGTCCGATGAAGCTTCCCGACGAAATCCAAAGGCATCCCAAAAGAATCGGAAAACGAGGAATGCGGGATAAGGAGGTATGAAAAAGGTGAAAAGAGATTGTGGATGCACTGGGCTACACCCACAAAAGCAACCTTTCGCACGGGTTTGTAATATCCTTACAGTAACTAGTCCTAAACAGACAAAAGGAATAATAATAATAACAATAATAATAATATGAGATTTGTGACGAAAAAGGGATGAAACAGCAAGTTAGAAAAGTTGGATGAAAAAACACTTGAATAATGAAAAAATAGACCACAAAAATCCATGCTCAGGATTCTTCAGATTCACCCCCAGTGGCCCCTCATTGGGTTAAATGATCCGGTTTGTTGTAAATATGATCTAATCGAAAGGTTTGACAGGGGAAATCGAAAGCGAGCTCATTGTTCCCTCGGACGCCCCCTCGCACTCGGTCTCCTCCACCAACCTCGGCGGGAGTTTCCACCTCGGCGTTGAGGATCGCCGGGGGGAGATAAAATATTTCGGAAACGGGGACGAATCCCCCCCTGGCGGGTGCGATGCCAGCGGCAAGGTCGTCTCCCCCTGTGAGTCCTCATCCTCCACCAGCTCATCAAAACACAACCGCTGCGCGCAATCCCCCCCTCTTCGCACGCCACCGCCCTCCTCCCAGTTTTTGTAAAGAAGGGATTTCCTTTCTGCCCTACTTTTCGTTTGTTTGTTCAAACGAAGCGGAATCGCCCCCTCCTTTTCTCGTTGAGGCTCCAAAGAGCGATTGATAGAGTCCTGCGAAAGCCACGAAACGGAGGGCCGCGAGAGGCTCCCCTGCGTATTCGCGTGCAAGCTGAGGCTGAGCCCCTGTTGGGTACTCTGCCCGCTAAACTCCTCCATAGCAACGGCCGAAAGGGACGTGGAAGAGGCATCCAAAGGGACAGGCTTCAGCACGCGATTTAGATTAATCATAGAAGTAGTAGAGGTAGAAGTAATGGTCGTAGTATACGTAGTATTGAGATTGCGAGAAATCAAAGGCACGCGTGGTGATAGTTTCCCTGTTTCCTCGCTGAGCGACCAAACCTCTGCACTGCTGCTTGCCGTGAAAGAGGCCTCGCTGAGGCTGCTAACATCCACGCTGGTGAGGTTCGTCGGGGATTTCATGCCCATCGCGATGAGGGTCTTTTCCTTTTCAAGTTTAGCGTCTTTTCTCGCGGAGGTTGAGACGGTGCTCTCAGAGACTTCACCCCACCTCGAACTGACCCCACTCGGCTCCACCTCCCCTGCCTGACGCACACTCCGCGCAGCTCCGCCTCCAAAAGATGAAATTCTATTCAACAAATTCATCGAGGAGGATTTACTAGAACACGACTTTAACGAGTTGAACGAGGCCGTGTGAATCATCTTGTTCACAGTCGAATAAAATTCGCCGGCAGCGGTGGATCTCCCTGGAATGGAAAAAGAAGGCGTAGGAAGCGACGCGGTGAGGGTCGGCTTCTCCTCCTTCAACGTGGAAGACAAACAATCCGAACCCGGCCGCTCCGACGAGAGCGAGGGAAAGACGTTTCTCAAAAAAGGATGGCCCAAGGCCTCGACGGCGCTCAGACGCTCTACCTCCACGACGCATAATAAAGCCTGTATAAACGATAGGGCGTGGTGGGAAAGCCATGACGGGTAGTAAACAGTGCCATGGGTAATCAGCCGCCGCGTTTCGGCCGCTGAGGCGTGCTCGAACGGCAACCTCCCGCAGAGAAGTCGATAGGTAAGCACCCCTAACGCCCACATATCCGCCTTCTCGGTGCACCCCTTTTGCGCGATCTGCTCCGGCGCGAGGTAATCTAGCGTTCCGCAGCTCGTGCGGCTTCTCATCTGAGGATCCGGCGGGTGGCCGGCCCCCCCGCGAAGCCGAACGGCCCACGAGAAGTCCGCGAGCTTGACGCGTCCGTGTTTGATCAGGACGTTCTCCGGCTTCACATCCCGGTGGAGGATGCCGTAGCGGTGCAAAAAAGCCAGCGCGGAGGCGATCTGGCTGACGACGGACCCCACGACGCCCTCCGGCAGGCCCTGCCCCCCCGACCCGCTGAAAGCCTCGGCGAAGCTCAGCAAATCCCCCCCCTCGGCGTACTCCAAAACGAGAAAGACGCGGTCGTGGTCCCAGAAGTAGGCGTGCAGGCGCAGGACATGGCGGCTGTGGCGGCCCGCGAAGGACTGCAGGGCGACCTCGCGGCGGAGCTGCGGGAAGAGCCCGCGGTAGTGCAGCATGTCCTTTGACAGGCACTTCAGCACCACCCCGCACCGCGTCCGCGCCTCCCGCACGAGGTAGAGCTTCCCAAACCGCCCCTCCCCCAGCTTGCGACAGAGGTCGAAGTCGCTCAGCCGCCAGGGCCGCGGGGCCTGAGAAAAGGAGGGGAGGGAGGGCTGACAGTGGGAGGGTTGACACAGGGAGGGCTGAAACCCCCGAAAAGGCCCTTCCTCCTCCTCCTCCTCCTTGTCACAGAGATGTAGGCGGGAGAGTTCGTCCTGCACCTGGCAGACATCCGCGTAGGTCAGGGCGTGGATGTCCTTCGCCAGTACCACCGTTTCGGTCGACAGGGGGGGTCTTAAAGAGCCCGGGGAGGGGCCGCCACTGCCGGCATAACTGCAGGTGAAATTGGATCCGCTCGAAGGCGCGCGCATCAATCGAGAGCGACGTGTAAAGGATAGAGGGTTCGACGTATCGAGGGCCGTACGTGGTATAAACGGAATGGAAGCAAGTTGGGTTCCTTTTGGTATTGGATGTGCGGCGCAATAAGGTAACTCGTGTCGACACGAGGTCAGGTCCAAGGTGATCCTAAAAGGAGAAAAAGCAAAATCCCTTTATAAATAAGTGGGAAAAAAGATTAGATCGATATAATAATATGAATATGGTGTCTGATTCTCTTCTAGACTTTTTTATACGTCTTGATATAAAAATGCAATAACTCTATAAAGATTAAAAGAATAATTACTTCCAGGTGTATCTAAAATTAAGAAGATTCGCGACAAAATCGCAAAAAAAAATCTAAAAGTGTTTATAATCTATTGAATCAATAGTAGGGGGTGTGCAAGCAAAGGCACTATAAGAACTGACTGGAAAGAAAAAATAGATATTTAGAACAATTATGGCTTTAGTAGCCTAGTTATACAAAAAATAACACCTATTAGCATTGGAATTGCAAAAAAAAAAGAAACAGTGAGCACACTTTCAGCTCTCGATATATTGTTTATCGTAGAAGTATCTCAGCTGGCATTTACACGTAAATGAAAGGAAAAAGGTAAAAAAAATGGGATATATGCATGCTGACTTGCCCTCTATAATGTAAAAGAAAAATTGTGATACAACTAAGTACACGAACACTAATAATGGTGGAGATAAAAAGGGTACCACCCTTTTTCACACCATATGTTACAACTTCGCTAGAAGAACCATCAGACGAAGTTTCTTGAAGGGCCAGACACCTTCTCTACAATATTTGGATCGTTATGCAAACTATCGTTCTACTTTTTGCTTGGTTATATGACTTTTATAAAAGAAAATATAGATAAATGCATGCATATCCATATATTCATATGTGGAAAGATTTAAACGACTTCTACCCTCCTCTTCCCTCCTTTAAGCTTAAAAATATTATAAACTTCGTTAAATTTGAACGCTAAAAAAAAAGAAAAGGCCATAACTTCCTTTCGTCCTTTGTATCTTTTTTTTGGAGCCGTGCAGTCACGCCCTGGATGTTGCCTCCCAAGCACTATTCCCCTGTCCACGCATCGTGAGCCCACAATTCTCTCGTAATGTTGGCAAAAATATTCGTGCTTCGCTATCGCTGATGCTCGGTTACCGTGCGAAAGAGGGAAACAACGGCGGAACGGGGCAAATCCCCAATCAGCTCCCATGCCTGCGGGTCGGTCTGAATGAGCGCACTAAAATTCATGGCGACGTAGTTCACGGCGCGCTCGTGGAGCTCCTGAATATTATGCTTCACTGCGTAAATCAGAAGCCTCAGGGCGTTATTTGCGTTGAAGGCGTTATCGCTCTCCCGCTTGAGATGTCCATCCATGCTCAAAACGCTCTGCATCTTGTAGATGATCGCAATATCCTCGGCGGAGAAATCCCGCGCGGCATCGAGATGGCGGGAGTACATCGCCATCACAAACCGCTGCCAGCTGTGGAGAGTAAAGTCGAAGTCGGAGCTGCCGAAATCGGGCAAAGGGGCGGGATTTCGAGGGTTGACAGCCTGCGAAAAGACGCCGCTATGACTTGCTAAAATGTATCGATGAGCTCGAATAACATGCCGATGAGGCCCCACCACCCAGTCGAAATCGCTATACTCTCCAGTCTCCGCCAGCCACGCGAGCTGCTTTGAGAGGGAGGTCTTCATCGCGGGGATGGTGGCCCTCGGGACGGTCTCGCGTTGGTACATAATTAAGGATAAACGGCGGAAAAGATGACCAGGGATCTCCTCAAACTGCGTATTTGTAATAAGTCTATCGTAGTGATCCAGAAGGACGTTCAAGTAGAGTGAGGTGAGCACCTCATCTGCGGCGTTATAGCGCGTGAGGACGATGGGCAGGATGTTATCCTGCGTAAGCAGCGGCTGGACGTACTGGATACAAGTGTTGCTGAGATCATAAAACTCGCACGCGGTACTCAGTAAATAAAGGTCGAGCAGTGATTCCGGCGTCAATACCGAGCGATCGGGGTGCTCCTCGGTGTAGACGTAGCGTAAAAACGCGCGAAAGACGTCAATGGGGACGGCGATGGAGACCACACAGCCGTTTTGCAGGGGGAGCATCTGCGCCGGCAGTAGCGGGCTCATCCGCGTGCCCACCACGCAGCGGTGGGCCTTCAGGCGGACGCCCTGGACGTCAAAACTCATATCCGACAGCACCTCGAGATGATCAAAGGGGTAGGCGAGGGCCGCGGACGACGCCATGCCGCGCCGTCGAGCATGCTCGCCGGCCTCCGTGAGAACCGCGCCGGTGTTGACAGGTCGCCGCTCTCGCGCCGGGACGCTCGACGCCCGGGATGCCACGGCCCCCTCGCCCGAGTAGAGAACCCCCCCTCCCC